GATCAACGTTCTTACCATTGTTATTCATAATTATTATTTTCTTTTTCGAAAATTAAGATCACTGATTTAAATCAATCAAAATATGATGTTTTGGTTCTTCTGTTTATTTTCAACAAGATTGAATTACAACATATGAGGAAATAAAAAAACCATCAATAACAATAACATCAAAAACCTACTTAAATACGAAGGATAGTTTACGTAAGTGGTGACGATTTAGAAAAAGAAGAAATTTATCAATAACGTTCTGATAAATGATCGACGCAATATGCGATCGTACACACGGTATCCTTCCCATTGTAAATATGCTACACTGGTTCTAAGTCAGGAAAGATTTCGTAACATCTCGTGTTCCCACGCATCGATATTTCAGCAAGATCCTGAAGATAGTATATAAAAAGACGCAGAATGATATAGAAATTAAAAACTAAATTGTTCTCAAGATTTATTTCTTTTGAATAAATAATTTTTAACTCCACTCCTAATTTCTTCTAATTTATTATTGTTTTTTTCCTGCTCTTTCTCAAATCATTGTTTGTTTTCTTTTGAAACTCAGTCGCCAAGGAAAATATAAAAAGCCACAGTTTAAGTGCCTTGCACTTGAAGCAAACCGATGTATTTAAGCCATTGTTTAAGTACCTTACACGTGGAACAATGTGATGATTTTAAACTATATATATATAATCTTGCCGTCAAGAATTATCTGGGCTTTAGCACAGATAAATTACTTAGAATATTTAAAAAGTTAATAAACTTTTTTAAAAATAGCCAACTTGACGACATTTTTCCACCAAAATGAATATTATCAGTAGATAATGCAGCATTGGAGCAGGTTTTTAAATATTAAAAAATTAGATCACAATTTCTACAAAATAATTCGTTTTCCTAGATAGATAATCATACTCACTGCTTGTCTAAACCAAATTTATTAGTGTACCAATATACATACATTCATCATTTAATCATAAGCATTAATTAAATTATTAAATGTTAAAAAAACTATTTTCTCCTTAGTAAGTTTATCATACATATTCATTATCTAAAGAGTAGCTAACAACTTTAATAATGTAAGTACTAATATTTCGTTTCCCACGTACATTTTTATCTGGAATTAGTTCTTTAATAATATAATAAGTAAATTTGTTTTCTTTTGAGAAAAAACCGACAAAGTGCGAACGTTTGAAATATGTCATAGAATGACTTTTCGAACGATAAAATATAAAAATTGAGAAGTAATAAAAAGGCGCGATCGTTTGCGCACTCAATTCACAACCAATTCCGACAACTTATGATGGAGTGAGACAAAACGCGAACTCAGCGTTTTTTTCTTTCCTTTTTGTAATTCAACGGTCCAATTCGAGGTCGGGATTTTTAACTATCAAAATTAAATGCCAAACGCATAAAGTAAAATGAATAGAAAATGATTTATTGTTCGAGTAACTATAAAAATTAGGAAAGGTCGTTAAAATGTCAATAATAATTATTTTATAAAACGTTCAATTTTGCATTTTTTGTAATGTGAGTTCCAAAAAAAAGAAGAAAAAATTCTTGTCACAGGACTGAAAATTTTTGCCCAGCAGTTTTTTTTACTATTATTAAAAAAAATTTATATTTTGCATGAAATTATCATTGGATAAACAAATTTTATAATTGGGTGAAAAAATTTTGCAGTTTGCTTAAAAAGTTCTTGAGATATTTCGAAAGACGCAAAAATAAAATTTAATATTGAGGGGTCGAAACTTTGGTCTGCTCTCCTAACCAAATTATTAGGATCATATTTATCAGATTGCGACTACCTCCTATGATTTGGGAGAAAAATTTTTTGTTCATTCAAAGAAAGTATGATTTTATGCCTGATTTCATAACTTAAAGTATCATCTGCAGAAATTAATTATCATAATTGAGGTCCCCCCCCCCCCCGATTCAGTCATAGAACGTGAAGATTAGATCAAAAGTTATTTAGAGTAGTCCGTTTTATAGTCTTGTTATTTTTGCATTCAAAATTAATTTCAAACTTAAATGAAAATTACATCTCAGTTTCTCTTATTAAACAAGTTTTAATACTATTATAGGTTATTATGAAATTTTAGGAAAGATATGACGCTCCAAGATTAGAATTCTTGTTTTATACTAGGAAATTTCTTTATTCTAAGGACATTTTTAGAATTTTTTTTTTATGTCATGAACTGGCCTCTAGAAATCGTAACAGATAATTTTTCGAAGGAAATAAATCCGCGACAAGAATTCGCCACGGAGAGGTTCTACCGAGCCCGGTACCGGATTATCCATTAGGACAGACTAGGCCATGGCCTAAAATGATTAGGGGCCCCCTTAGAATGGATTTTTTGAAAATAAATTTTAAAAAATTAAGGTGTTCTCAGTGAAATAAATTTTGATAACATTATAGATGAGTTTATTGATCACAAGAGCAGAAAAAAAGATTTTTGAATACCAATTTTATAGTAGTGTTGATTTTGTAAAGTGTTAATAAATTTAAATTTTTTTCAAAATTTTTAGTTCTAATTTAACAAAATAAAGTAAAATTTTATTTATTATTATTTATTTGAAGTTTAAATATGCTTTCTTAAATGAAAAGATATATACTTTTATATTTGAATAAATAAAAATATACGAGAAAAAAAAATTTAATCTAAGGGCCCAAAAATTTTAATAGCNATTTTTGAATACCAATTTCATAGTAGTGTTGATTTTGTAAAGTGTTAATAAATTTCAATTTTTTTCAAAGTTTTTAGTTCTAATTTAACAAAATAAAGTAAAATCTAATTTATTATTATTTATTTGAAGTTTAAATATGCTTTCTTAAATGAAAAGATACATACTTTTATATTTGAATAAATAAAAATATACGAGAAAAAAATTTTTAATCTAAGGGCCCAAAAATTTGAATTGCCTAGGGCCGCTTAATCCGGCACTGACCGAGCCTTGAATTTTAAAATGGTAACTAACAGTTGGAAACTCGAACTAAATTGTTACAAACATACTTGAATAATTCAAGCGCTGAGGGAGTTCTATAATACAATGTGATACTTAAAATAGAATGATAATAAAAGAAAGAAACGATTAATTTTAGTACTGTATAATTAATTTAGTCACAGTTTTGATTTATTAAATTTTTTTTAACTATCATTTTAAATAATAGAATTTTTTGCCATTCTATAAATAAACGATTTAAATATTTTATTTATAAGGATAAAAAAATAAAACCGTCATCGATAAAACATTCATGCAACTTGAAAGGAAATTTAAATGTCTTTCTTAAGAATTGATTTATTAAAATTTTTTTCTTCAGTATTATTCAAATTAATGGAATTTTTTACCATTCTATAAATAAACGATTGAAATATTTTATTTATAAGGATAAAAAAATCGTCATTGAAAAAACATTTATGCAATTTGAAGGGAAATTTAAATATCTTTTTTACCAATGACTAATTAAAAATTTTCCAAACATTGAACATATTCGTAAAAATAAATCACAAATTAAGCTCGTTTATATCAATGATATAAGAATCTGATTTAGATAGAAGAAAATGAAAAAAAAAGTAAAAATGACACAAAAATAAAATAACAGAACTAAATATTTTCAAGATTTTTATTAACAAAAGAAATACATAATTTGCATGCAAATAAAACAATAAAACAAAATATAGAAGTATAACTTATCAAATTAACAGGATGTCATTTTAAACAGAAAAAAAAACAAAGAAAGAAGGAAAATCAGCATATTTGAAAAGATAAATCATAAGTAAACGATAAATCATAAATAAGTAAAAATAATAATAATGAAATAAAAATTTAGAATATTTCTTACAACAGATAAAAAAAATTCTATTTTAATTAAATAGCTATATAATAGCTTCCCTTGTTTGACATAATATTCTTTCTAGTGGTAGCAAAGGTTTTACAATGTAGCAAAGATGAATTAGAAAAGTTTGCTTATCATTACATAAAAATAGTTTAAAGAAGAAAAATATAATAAGTATCTTCATTATAAAAAGAGAATCAGATAGCAAATGGTTGTATTTTTATTTCTGGGGAGAAAATTTTTTTTTAAAAATAAACATTCAATTTGTTTTAAAGGTTTAGGCTGAAAAAATTTTTGCAAAAACTTAAAATAAAAAGAATCACAAGAAATGATTAAATTATAACGTTGCATATCGAATGGAATATAGATAAAGTATAATAAAATTCGTTATTAATATAAAATAAAAGAAACATATTCATTCCTTAGAAAATAAGAATAAATTTAATTCTTCGAACAAAATAATTACAATTTTACATGAATAATTCGGAAAATTACAATGCCTGAAAATTAGTAATAAAAAGTATTTATTGTTCAACGAGTCTTAATAATGCAATGCATAAAAATATTTCAGATATCTGATCTTTAATGGTGTATTTGATTTCTTTTTGTTTTCCCCTTTTCTTAAGTTATTTAAAATTGGGAATTGCGAAGCAATTGCGAATTGTAAGCATTTCCTATCCATATTCTATATAAAAGTATTAACTCTAGATTAATATCATAAAATAAAATAATAGTTTTAAACTTTATAATATGTGATAGAAAATTAAATAATAAAGAAATATTACTTATTTTTATTCCTTCTTCACAGTTTTTATCTCAAATTTTGCAAAACATAGGTAATTATAATCAAAACTAACGAAACTATAAAATCTACCTTACTATTATGTTATTTACATTATAAATTACATTTATACATTTTTCGTAACAGAAAATAAAATTACATATTTTTATTCTTTCTACACAGTTTAATGTCAAATTGCGTAAAACGTACATATATTTTACCAAAATTATAGAATCTACCTCTATATTATGTTAGATACCTAGTAAAATAGCTATAAATTCATCATTGAAACAAAATATTCGTTAAAAAAACGATTTTAACTAACGGCATCACAAAAATATTTTTGAAAATTTAGAGGAACATAAATATAAAAATCATAGTTACGTTACATACCAGATCTGCTTTCTTCCCACTTATTTTAATTCCTCTTTTCCGTAATTCTTGTCTCAAATCATCTTTAGACATCCCTTTGTAATCCCTAGTTACATATTTTTGTTTACTTTTACTGGATTTCATAGGAACGTTCATTTTTGGTTTGCTAGATGTACTCTCCATTGGATCTGAATATTAAACTCCTAAAAATATTTTTTCTAAAATTACAACAGATATTATTTGTGTAATATAAATTCTCGTACAAGACTCAACACTGTACGTTCAATCAAATGAATTATTGATTTGTTTTTCACGGTTACTTCCATCACAATGCACAGCAACAAATATTATTCAAATAGCTTGAAATACTATCAGGCTATCAATACAACATTATAATTACGTTAAGTAAGAGATGAGGATTTCACAAAAGCACTAAATTACTTATTAAGTTTAGAATGTAAACATAACAGACTAAGTTTCGGTATCCGTCACTTTAAGATGACGCCAAGTTTCAAGCAGAAATGTTTTTTTTAATAGTTGCTGTTGCCAGTTTTGAATTTCTTTATAAAAGGCACTTTAATCGATAATGGAGCAATCGTTGTTACTAAGGGGGCAGATTGAGGTTAAAAGTACCTCGAATTCGAAAAATTATTAATTTAATTAGTTTCGAACTCTTAAAACACAGATATAATTCATTATTATTTATTTTTACTAATAATTTTACTTTAGATTAATTTGTCTTTATTTAGCTCGCTTTTCCTCGCCAATTCAAAAGATGAACACAAATGTTTTACTTAAACTAACATATACATCCTACAATTTAAAAGAAAATATTGAACAGGATTCCTTTAGAAAAAAATATTCTCTTTCAAACAGAAAACAAAATTAAAAATTAGGGAAAATTAAAAACAAACCGAAAACATAAATCAAAACAAAAAGCATCCTCAAGAAAATGCTTCTTCACGATGTGGCGCCATCTATTAAATTATATTGAAACTTTATCATGGAAAAATTAGTTTCTAATGTTAAAAAAAAAACGTAAGATTTTATTTTAATTCGAAATATTTCCATACATAATTCCCATACTTTTCTATAGTATTTACAATAATTTTAATCAACCTTTTAACATTTTCTTATTAGTAATCATAAAAATATTTAGACTTTTTGATCACTGTTTGAAATTTTTCGCTGTTTTAAATGTTCACATATTTTTTGCGTTGATTTTTTGGTATCAAACTGAATTTTTCGATTTTAAATATTTTAACAAAGATATCGAAATTTTAAAGGGAGAAAAGCATTTCAACTTTGAATTTAAGAACTACATAATTACGTTACTACATAATTACATAATTACGTTGAATTTAAAAGCTACATTTTTCAAATTCAGTTTTAATATAAATACCAGCAAAATAAAACAGTAGATTTTTTAATAAAAATGTTTTGAACAATTTATTGTTTTCATAGGAAAAAAATGGGGAAGGGGGGGTACAATAATTAATTTTTAGAATCTATTATGTATTTTTTTTTCTTTTTAAGAAAAGAAAAAGAAAGTTGATATTAATATACAGCCTCTTAATTTCAGTAACATTTTTATTTTACAGTGATAAATTTATAAAAAAAAAAATTTAAAAGCTAAATAGGATTTGCAAATTTCTTATTGAAATTTTATTATTAATTAAATAGTGGATCAGAAGATCGAGTAATACGGCAAATATTCCTTATCTTTTTTTTTGCATTTAATGAAAAGAAAATTAATTATTATTATTATTTATTTTTTTTATATTTATAATACCTACTCGAAAGAAATGACTTTTCGAAATATCTTTACAAAATGAAATGAACAAAATTTAATCNGCACCAAAATATTTTCAGTGCTTAGGGCCTCAAGAGGTCTTAATCCGGCCCTGCTGCAAAGTTCGTTAAAAAATAACTACTAAAAATGTTTCACAACTTAAACGAAAGTAATAACTATAATTGCATTCATTATGTGAACACAATTATTTATACTGAAACTAAAAGGCATAAAGTTCCGAAGCATGTAAAAATATGAACAGTTTGAATAAAGTATGCAAAAATAGAAACAAAGGGAGTTATTTCAGTTTACATTCGAAAAAAAATGTGAGATTTTAAAGAAGTTATAAAGCTAATTTGCTTATATTAAACACTAAACATACATTTCAGCCCCTATTAAATGCTGTGATGCAGGAAACAACCTAGACTAAAATCATTTTTCTTTCTTGAAGATTTGGCAAAATGATTGGTCAACATTTTGAGTACTTCAGATCCCATTAATTGTTTCGTTATTTCTTGCTCTATAGTCATTAGAACTAGTCCAGATTTGAAGAGAAAAGTAGATTTGAAAACACTGTTGTCGCATATTATATGAATTTATGGACTTTTATAGTTTATAAAAAAAGGAAACCTTATTATTGGTGCATTTATATCATTTTTTAAATAGAACAGACGATGTAAGAAAACGTAATTTTAAGGGAAGACAGCAAATTTTTTTTACCAATTTTATTGACATTAAGGAGTGAATGAATTAAAGTAAGTGATATTAAGTCATATTAATCTAAATATTAAAAAGAAGAGAATTATTTACTTTGATTTTTAGACATGACAACTAACATTTATGCGCATAAGAATCAAATTATTCAAAAATATGCCAAATACTTAAATACAAGGCACTAAATGTGTGCGTTTAATTTTAAAAAAGCAAATTTTTAAAAGGAAAAATTTTTAAAGGGACTTTTCCTTACGAGTGTGAAAAATCAACTTTTAAATGAAACGAATGATCGTGTTTTGAAAAACCAAACTTATGGCAAGTATATTTCAGAATATGGGTGCATTATGGAAGGCTTAATTAGTCTAATGGACAACCCCTTTTAAAAAAATAGACCCATATTCACTTCACCTGCTTATTCATATAACTGATTTTACCAGCCCACCAACGAGTTAGTTCATGGAACAAAAAAATCCAAATAACTTCTTAAAGCAGACGATAATTAAGCTAATAATTTAAAATCTCTTTTAAAATCTTCTTAGCAGTCACCATTATCTTTGATGAACACATCAGAATAAGCCCAATTCAGTAAAAAAGAAAAAGAATAATGAGCAGGAAAAGATATAAATAAGAAAATATATAATAGTGGATGTAATAATTTTAATTTTTGTGCAGTTAATAAAAAAAGTCTTTTTTAAAAAGTTTTTTTTAATTATCCAATAAACTAAGGAAACATTTTCATTTCGGCTAAATATTGCCCCTCCCCTCCCTCCCGTGTTACACCTGTGATCGTTTTTAAATGCATGATTATAATTAAACAAATTGATATCTGTTGGTTGAACAATATGTAGAAATCGAACTTTGTGACCTCTGCCCATATCTGTATTAAAAACGTTTCTTAATAATTACTATATAGAAATGTAAGTAAAAATTTATTATTAAATTTCAAAAAGTTGTTATAATGTTAATTTTGTAAATTCTTTATTAAAAGAAAGAAATCAATTTTTTTTTGAAGTAACTATATTTAAAAATAAAAACTGTAACAATATTAAAAAATATTCTTCCTTTTTTTTTTTTTTTTCGTTAACCATAACCCGGTGAGAAGGCGCAAGTACAAAGTTTTGGGGTGATGATAAAACTTTTTGAAGTTATACTTCTTATGCGACTTCCAACAAGGTTGCGTTAAACGTTTAACGCTACATTTTTATTGGCCGGGAAATCACGTGGCAGGATCCAGTTTTCCCTCATTCATTTCCATATTGTTTTGGTTCTCACTAGCATAAAAATAATAAAAGTCATAAAAGTATTGTTTTTCTATAAATATTTTTTTAGTTTGTTTTGATACACATATAATTTAATAGGGTAGTATTTTTTATTTTCAAATTTAGTGGATAACAATTGTAAAAAATGAGTGAAAACAATCCCACGGACAATGCGACGGATTTAAGGTTATGTCAAGGTACGTCTCTTGTGAATATCAATTGATTGTTAGGTTTTCTCTTCTGAAATTACATTATGACGCATTCACATACATTATTAATACAAATACATTTTCCAGGGCGAGACGATGAGGCAACCACAAGCACTTCCACTGGTTCAAGAGGGAAAAATACACAATATTACCGTGATTACAGAGCACGGAAGCGAGCGGAGCAGGAAAAAGTGTCGTTGAATAGAACTAGTGATCCTTCTACAACTGCTGATTCTTCTACAATTAACGTCGCAGGTTGCGAATTTAACTTCTCACGCGCGGAGGGACTCCACGCACTATTTTTTTTTCAGAGACGGCAACAATGAATTTGTAAATTGTGCTACCCATTGTTCAATGAAGCATGCATTGAAGGTGAAATCAACCGAGTGAGATGTAATTGAGATATTACTTTTCTCATTAGTACCTAGATGGCGCTTCAATTTTATTGTGAGTTGTAACGTTGTATCTGGCAATAGTGAGTGCAAATAGCATTTTAAAATAAAAATGGCTGTTATCGTCGTTCTGTAAAAATATTGTTGTGTTTCATTACAGTTATGTTTATTGGGGGCCAACGGATGTTAGAAATAATTTTTCGGCCACAATTTGTGTGCTGATAGTTTTGCGTCTTATTTTGACTTAAAAAAAATTTTTAAAAAAAGAACAAGTTTATTTTTACCACTTTATTTTAAAAATCTGAAATGTCGGAAAACATTGTGTGGCTGGGATGTTCTTTTATGACCAGTCTCCAATATATATTTCTAAAATCATTTTTTTAAATGAAGTCGAAAAAGTATATGCTCATTATGGATCGCAAACGATATTCAAGCAAGGAAGGGGAAAAAATCAATAGTAAAGAAAGCGGGATTGAAAAAAAAAATAAATCTGGATTGATTGCCTAAGAAAACTAAGAGTGGTCTCAAACAATCATCTTTCAGCATTTAAAAAGGTTTTGACGTTTACAGTCCCATCTACCTCAGTAGTAATTCGTGGGATTTCGACAAAGTTTTTTCATCTTCCTTATACATACTATTTTGCGACATCTAGTGTGTATATTATGTTGACTTCATTTATCACAAGAAATTCATAAATATGTATTAAGGCAGTGGTTCGAAATCTTTTACGACTGCGGAACCTGAATGATCGAGCATCTTCTGGCAGATTCCCAAGTTCGTAAATAAAATTAGTAACTCTGACCAAAACAATTAATCAAATAATTATTAATAAACTATAAATTATTTTAATCAAATTTAAGGTGAAGAAGGAAATTTATTGAGTCATTGCTTTACCAATATTAGGCTTAAAATTATAAGTTGAATGTCAAACAGTTAAATTTGCTGGCCTGGAGAGGCATTTAGACTAGTTTTGAATTCGTTTTTAGTATATGCATAAGCTGAAAACTAATAAGGCACGCTGAATTATAGTTTTCGAAAGAAAAAAAAACTGTTATAAATGTTGACAATGGTTATCAAGGCAACATAATTCTTTATTCTAGGATTAGTTCAACTCTTGTTTTTTTTTTCTTAAATAACTTCATAAAACTTAAATAACTTCATAAACTCTA